TGCCACCATGACCCTGCTGGGCCTGCTGTGTAGTGGAAAGTAGGCAGCTTGTTCAGAGGTGAGGACTTGGTGGTGGAGGGGGGAGTCTCTGGGCTTCAGGAAGAGCCCCTGGGACACCTGCAAATGATCATGTCATGACACCAGGAGGTCCCTTTCATGTCTAACTGTCCCACCAGCACCTCAGGTGTGGCCCCAGTATGTTCCTGGGCCGCACTGGTGTCTGGGAGCATTGTCATGGTGAGCCAAGCCCCAGGCCCTAGGATGAGCCTCAGGTGAGACACTCACTTAGCCCTCCTTCCACCTGGGCAAAATAACAGGGAGAAAATCAGCTGTTTCTTATCATCAGCCCACCCCATGGCTAAGCTGCTGGTCTGCCCTCTGTGTGAGCTTGGGCCTGTCCTGCAAATGCAGGGGCCGAGAATATGCCTGCCAGACAGGTCTGCTCCAGGGATGGTGACACCATCTCTGCCAGGCGCCTGTCACCATGTTCCCTGCTGACAAGAGCCCCAGAGCCCCAGGAGCAAGGTAAAAAGACTCAGGAACACGCAAAATGATGACGCCAGGTCTAAAAACTCTGGAAGACCCTTTCCCTGTCCGTCTGACTCCCGGTCCAGCATTCGGAGCCAGATGTACTCTCTGGCAGGGCACCGAGAAGCCCCCCACCCTCCTTCCCTTATGGGCTTGGAGAATGTTTTGAGGAGTGGGATGTACAGGAATCTTTAGTTTCTAAATACAGAAACCCAAGTTAGCTTTGTTTAAGTAGGTTAGTGAAATAGGAATTCATTGGTTCATGTTACTATAAAGTCCAGGATCTGAACTGGCTTCAGGCATGGCTGGTTCTGGGGCTCCTTCATTCATTAATTTAGCCCGGGGATAGGGTGAGCTCTGTAGGAGTCACTTGGAGGGAGAGTGGGGAGGGGGTTTCCCAGAGAGAAATGGAGGTGAATTACTCAGGAGAGGGGAGTGGACTCTGGGCTGGAGAGGAGGAGAATCTTCCCTAAAAGCATGATGGCATTAGTGAGACTCACTGTGCCTGGATCGGGGAGGGACTGAAGGGAGTATGGGACCCTCTCCAGGAGCTCCGGGGCCTTGGCTTCCAACAGACTCCTGGCAGCACCCCCTAACAGCCTCAGCGGGATGAATTTCGGGGTCCTGAGAGCCTGAACATGCACCCTTGGCTAGGACGTCCAGGAGCTCCTCTTCTTGGCTGTGGGTGTTCGTTGGAGAATGTCTCAATTTCTGGCTGGGGGAGAGGGAGAGGGTGTCACTCATCCAGTGCTCACTTGTTCAACCCCATAGGCTGATCTTTCCTTCCTTCCTTCCCTTCCTCCCCTTCCTCCCTCCTTTCTCTTTCTTTGTTTCCTCGCTCCCTCCCTTCCTTCTTTCTCCCTCTCTCTCTTTCCCTCTTTTCCTTCCTTTTTCTCCATTTCTTTCCTTTCTCTCGCCTTCCTTCCTTCCACTCCCTCCCTTCTCTCTCTTTCCTTCCTTTCTTCCCTTCCTCCCTTCCTTCTCTCTCTTTCTTTCCCTTTCCCTCCCTCTTTATTTTTCCTCCCTTCCCCTTCCCCTTCTCCTTCCCCTTCCCCTTCCCTTCCCCTTCTTCTTTCTTTTCTGGGAACATCATGATGACTGAAGCCATGCCTCCTGGAGCACAGGGAAAGCCTGGATTCTTCGGGGAGGTGGGTTGGAAGAGCTGGAGCTAACTCTGGGTCAGGGCAGGCTTCTCAGAGGAGGTGACTATTTGTGGGAGGTGGGGGTAGGGAAAGGGAAGAGGTGCTTTTGAGGCAGCCAGTGGGCTAAGATCCCAGTGACTAAATGGAGGACAGGATGTTTAAGGAGCTGGGAGTGGAAGGGTGTGTCTGAGCAGCAGGATTGTGGTTGGGTAGGAGGTGGCAGGGCCAGGCACAGAGGGTCTTGTGGGTCAGTCCGTCACCAAGGCCAGCTGGAAGCTTCTCTGCAGCTTATGTGCTGTGTGACACTGGGAAAGTTAAACGACCTCTCTGAAGCTCACTTTCCTCATTTACAAGCTACTCTCAGAGTTGCGGTGTTGAGTTAGGCACATGGAGGATTTAGCACAGGTACTGGTCACCATCGGGCTTTAAGTATCAATTATTGGTGTCAATCCTTGTTTTCCTAATTCTCTTTTGTGTGTAGAACGGGCTGTTGTTGTATGAAGAATTTGCTGGGTCAGAGCACCCTCTGGTGGGCATGGGGAGCCAGTTCAGGGAGAAAGATGGAACTAGAGGTTTTTTTAAAGGGCATCACCCTCCTTCCCCGTCTTCCTTCCTCCCTCCCTCCCTCCTTCCCTCCCTCCCTCCAGTGCATTCATCAGGGTCAGATCCTGCCTAGATAGGGACTGAAACAACTCAGGCCCTACCTTCCCAGGGGTTTACAGCCCGGTAGGGGAAGACACGGGAACCTCAACTGAGTAGAGCTTAACACTGTGGAGAGGATGGAACTGCGGGATACAGGGCTTCATAGGAGCCCAACTTGTTCCCGGGGCACTGGGGAGCAGAGCCACAGAAAGCTTTAGAGTAGGGGAGAAGCAGGGTCGGGTTTTCGATGTCATGTGGATGAATGGGACGGGTGAGGCTGGGGCTGGACCCAATGTGGAGGCTGCAGAAGGGGTGGGATGGGGTGGCGGAAGGTGTGCAGGGTGTGGGAGGGAGACATCGGGGCAAAGTCCAGGACCCTGGCCCACTCCTAGTTTGGGAGAGGGGTTTTTTTCTCTCACCCTCGGGGGTCGTCCCCAGCCGGGTGGTCTGCTGGGAGCTGCCAGCCACTCATCTCTTGACCAGGCCCAGGCCTGGAGCCCTATGTCCCCACACAGAACTCCCATAGGTCCCTTTCAGCCTAGAGGGTTACGACTCCCAGTCCCCCAGGGTGGGTCCTGCTGCTGGTGGGCCCTGGTGGGCCTGAGGGAGAATCTGGTGGGCCTCCTGGGGTGGGCTCTGTCCCCAAATGGTCAGAAACAACCTTTCAGCTCTCACAGTGGGGGGATGCTGGGTCTCTGGATGCACACCTGGGGTTCTCTCTAGGAGGTCAATAGTTTTGACCTTCAGGCAGAAAGAACCCTGTGAGAAAGTCCCAGAGGTGAGGAGAGCCTGGCTCGGAGGTGGTGAGTGTGGAGGGCTGCAGCGTGGGAGGCGGGAGGAGGTTATGATGAGGCTGTCAGGAGCAGATCACACAGGGCCATTGGGAGAGGCAGGACTTTCTGCGGGAGGCTCTGGGGAGCCCCGCGAGATTCTGAGTAGGGAAAAGACAGGGTCAGGTTGGTGCTTTAGGAACACTCCTCTGGAGGGGCAGGATGGGAGGCTGCGAGGTCAGGTGGAGGCTGAGGCAGGAACCTGGGCAGGAGAGACCAGGCCAGGGCTGGGTGGGACTGGAGGGTGAGAAGGGAGTGGCTGGATCTGAGAGATGCTCAGGAGGCTGACTCGGCAGAAGTGAAATGACTGCCAGCCTTTGGGGGTTGAGTCCAGGACGAGGCTCAGTGTCAGCTGGGTGAAGAGATGGGAGGTAGACTTCCCTGGGATGGGAGTAGCCTGCGTGGGGGTTGCTGCTGAGGTCGGGTCAGAATTCTGGGCCACAGCAGCCGCTGGGAGGAGCCCGTTGCCCCCCAGGACCTGGGATCCAGGCTCTCAGGAGTCCTGGGGCTGGGCAGGCAGCCAGAGGGGCCTGGCACTGAGCTGGCAGAGGAGAACGGCCCTGCAGGCCCAGGCCCCTCCTGTCTGGCAGGCAGTAGCAGGCACAGAGCCCCAGGCTCCAGGGCTGTGGGAATAACAATAAAAAGAATAATTACAGCTCACCTTGGACAGGTGCAGTAGCTTGTGCCTGGAATCCCAGCACTTTGGGAGGCTGAGGTGGGCAGATCACTTGAGGTCTGGAGTTTGAGACCAGCCTGGCCAACATGGTGAAACCCCATCTCTACTAAAAATAGAAAAATTTGCTAGGTGTGGTGGTGGGCACCTGTAATCCCAGCCACTTGGGAGGCTGAGGCAGGAGGAATCACTGGAACTCGGAAGATAGTGGCTGCTGTGAGCCACGACTGTGCCACTGCACTCCAGCCTGAGTGACGCGGTGAGACTCCATCTCAAAATAATAATATTTTGGGAGGCCAAGGCGGGTGGATCATGAGGTCAGGAGTTCAAGACCAGCCTGGCCGAGATGGTGAAACATTATCTCTACTAAAAATACGAAATTAGCTGGGCATGGTGGCGTGTGCCTGTAATCTCAGCTTCTCCTTGGGAGGCTAAGGCAGAGAATTGCTTGAACCCGGGAGGTGGAGATTGCTGTGAGCTGAGATCTTGCCACTGCATTCCAGCCTGGGTGACAGAGTGAGACTCCATCTCAAAATATAATAATAATAATAATAATTACAGCTCACCTGAATTGAGCCCTTTGGTGCCCAGGTACGCCATGGGGTTTCACCTCCCTGGGGGCTGGGAGATGGCCAGGAACGGCCCTGTTGGTTTCACAGAGTAAGTATTTCAGTCAGAGTTCTCCAAAGAGACAGAATCAATAGGACAAGTGTAGAGAGAGATGGTAAAAGGGGTTTATTGGGCAATTAGCTCCATAAGGCTAAGAAGTCCCGAGGCCGTCTGCAGGCTGGAGACCCTGGGATGCAGGGAGCGTGGCTCAGACCAAGTCCGAAGGCCTCAGAACCAGGGAAGCCAAAGGTGTCATTCTCAATTTGAGGCCAAAGGCCTGAGAATCTGAGAGGCTGCTGGCGTAAGGCCTGGAGGTGTTGCAGCCTGTGCTGATTCCCACGGGGGACATGGAGGTGAGCCTGTGGTCCTTAGACCGGCAGACTGTGTGACCAGATTAGCTATGTAGTTTTGGGGTGCAGAAACCAAGGCTTGGAGGTTAATTAAATATGTCCAGGGTTGCATGGCCAGCACCTGGCAGCTTGGCAGTGTGACTTCAGCGTTTGTGGAGCCCAGGGCTGGGCAGCCTCTGTGCCCCCACCTCGGCCTCACGGTGCACACCCCTTCCCTCCCACCCAGGTGGTCAAGGTGAAGCCCCACGACAAGGACGCCAAAATGAAATACCAGGAGTGCAACAAGATCGTGAAGCAGAAGGCCTTTGAGCGGGCCATCGCGGGCGACGAGCACAAGCGCTCTGTGGTGGACTCCCTGGACATTGAGAGCATGAGTGAGTGGGGCCCAGGCGCCCTCTGCTCCAGCCCAGAACATTCCACATGGGCCCTCTCTATTCCCTGGGGTGGGAGTGGGCTCGGGGGTAGCCCCTTGTTCTGTCCCCAGGCTGCTGTCTGTCGCTCCTCTGCCTGTGTTCCAGGGCGCTCCATCCACAGCCTGAAGCTGGGCCTCATGCTTCCCAGTGGGCGAGATCAGGAATTGTAACACCCCCTCAGTATGGCTTGGCTGTGTGTCCCACCCAAATCTCACCTTGAATTTGTAGCTCCCATAATTCCTACGTGTTGTGGGAGGGACCGGGTCGGAGATAATTGAATCATGGGGGCAGTTTCCCCCATACTGCGCTCCTGCTAGTGAATACGTCTCACGAGATCTGATGACTTTATAAGGGGAAGCCCCTTTTGCTTGGCTCTCACTCAGCAGCCACTCAGGCAACCAGCGATACCCATCTGGATTAGACAACCTGGCAAACCTGAGGACCCTACCACGCATGTCTAAGATGACTGTGTAGCTGTCAACAATGACTGTACACCCATCTGTCCCAGCCAGTGGTGCTCCCCGAAAGTAATATTATACTATCTCATTATCTCCTCAGCTTGCTATGTCAAAAGGGGAAAGTTGTTAAAATAAAATGGGGGAGCCAGGTGCAGCGGCTCACACCTGTGATCCCAACACTTTGGGAGGCCAAATTGGGAGGATCCTTGAGCCCAGGAGTTTGAGAGCAGCCTGGGCAACATGGCAAGACTCCATCTCTACAAAAGAAAAAAAACATTAGCTGCACAAAGTGGTGCGTGTGCATGCCGGTGCTCCCATCTAGTTGGGAGGCTGAGGCAGGAGGATCACCTGAGCCCAGGAGGTTGCGGCTGCAGTGAGCTGTGATCATGCCGCGTCACTCCTGCCTGGGCAACAGAGTCAGACCCTGTTTTACACACACACGCAGAAGTAACGGGGTGGACAGGACGGAGAATTCCCCAAGCAGACAGAACCAGGCCACATAAGCAAAACCTAATGCACTTTGACTTTTGAATGTAAGTAAAACCTAACTTAGGTTTGTCCTTCCCTTCCTCCCTCCCTTTCTCTCTCTCTCTCTCTCCTTCTTTCCTCCCTTTCTCTGTTAATTCCTTCCTCCCTTCCTTTCTTTTTTTTCTTCTTTCTTTGAGATAGACTCTCATTCTGTTTCCCAGGCTGGAGTACAGTGGCAGAATCTCAGCTCACTGCAGACTCCATCTCCTGGTTTAAGCAATTCTTGTGCCTCAGCCTCCTAAGTAGCTGGGATTACAGGCATATGCCATGACACCCGGTTAATTTTTGTTTTTTTGTTTTTAAGTAGAGACAGGGTCTCACCATGTTGCTCAGGCTGATCTCAAACTCCTGACCTCAAGTGATCTGCCTGCCTCATTCTCCCAAAGTGCTGGGATTACAGATATGAGCTACCATGCCCGGCCAATTTAGGTTATTTCTCATGAATGCCTCTGATAATCATAAACGAAGCTTAAGTTGCCTTCCCCTAACAATATAAGACAAATGCTTTTAAGCAGTCCCTTGCAACCTGGAAACCTCCACTGTCATAGACTCACCGTAAAGGTTAAACCACCTCCTGAGTTTTGCTTTTTCAGCGATCCTATGACAACATGCCTCTGAGCTTTACTACCTGGGTTCAAGTCCCCTGGATCGTGTCTGTCCCCCATCCCCAAAACTTATTTTATTTTTTTTGAGATGGCGTCTCACTCTGTTGCCCAGGCTGGAGTGCAGTGGCGCAGTCTTGGGTCACTGCAACCTCCGCCTCCCAGGTTCAAGCGATTCTCCTGCCTCAGCCTCCCAAGTAGCTGCAATTACAGGTGCCTGCCACCATGCCTGGGTAATTTTTTGTATTTTTAATAGAGACAGGGTTTCACTCTGCTGGCCAGGCTGGTCTTGAACTCCTGACTTTGTGATCCGCCCGCCTCGGCCTCCCAAAGTGCTGGGATTACAGGCGTGAGCCACTGTGCCCAGCTGTGTGTGTTAGTTTTCTAGAGCTGCTGTAATAAGTTCTCACAAACTTGGTGGCTAAAAATAACAGAAGCTTATTTTCTCGCAGTTCCGGAGGCCGGATGCTCAAAACAAAGATCCCAGCAGGGCCCTGTCGGCTCTGAAGGTTCTGAGGAGAGTCCTTTCTTGCCTACTCCAGCTTCTGGCGGCTCTTGGTGTCTCTTAGTGCCAGTCTCTGGCCTTCTCCTCTTCTCTGTGTCTTTTCTTCTGCTCTGCCTTTTGTTGGGGGTGGGGAACAGAGTCTTGCTCGGTTGTCCAGGCTGGAGGGCAGTGGTGTGATCTCGGCTCACTGCAGCCTCTCCCTCCCAGGCTGAAGTGATCCTGTCACCTCAGCCTCCCGAGTAGCTGGGATTACAGGCACGTGCCACCATGCCCAGCTAATTTTTGTATTTTTAGTAGAGGCAGGGTTTCACCATGTTGGCCAAGCTGGTCTCGAACTCTTGCCCTCAAGTGATCCACCTGCCTCCACCTCCCAAAGTACTGGGATTACAGGTTTGAACCACAGTGCCCAGCCTTGTGCTGTGTCTTAATAGGACATTTGTCATTGTGATCTAGGAGGCTTGACTCTGGAGGCAGGACTCTGACACCAGACTAAATTGAGAACAAGCCAAAACACAGACAGGGCAGAAGCAGCTTTGGGTAAGCCAGGCCCGCCAGTGCCATGTCAGTTTACCATTGCCGTGACAACATCCGGAAGTTACCACCACTTTCCACGGCAGCCACCCAGTGACCTGGAAGTTGCTGCCCTTTTCCTAGAAATGTCTGCATCATCTGCCCCTTAATTTGCACATAATTAAAAATGGGTATAAATACGACAGCAGCTCTGAGCTGCTCCTCTGGGCACACGGCCTTTCGGGCAGCCCTGCTCTGCAAGGGGCAGTCCCTCTGCTGCAGCTGTGCACCGGGGTCCAGTAAAAGTTGCTACCACCACCGGCTTGCTCTTGAATTCTTTCAAAGGCAAAGCCAAAAACCTTCCTGTGCTAATCCCCAATTTGGGGGCTCACCTGCCCTGCAGCAATTAGATTTAGGACCCACACAGAGAATCCAGGATTAGCTCATCTTGAGATCATTAATTATGCTTGCAAAGACCACTTTTTTTTTTTTTTTTTTGAGAGACGGAGTCTTTCTCTGATGCCCAGGCTGGAGTGCAGTGGCACAATCTCTGCTAACTGCAACCTCTGCCTCCCTGGTTCAAGCGATTCTCTTGCCTCAGCCTCCAAGTAGCTGGGATTACAGGTACCTGCCACCATGCCCAGCTTTTTGTATTTTTAGTAGAGACAGGGTTTCACGTCATTGGCCAGGCTGGTTTCAAACTCTTGACCTCCAGTGACCTGCCCGCCTCGGCTTCCCAAAGTGCTGGGGTCACAGGCGTGAGCCACCATGCCTGGTGCAAAGACCTTTTTGTAAATAAGGTCACGCTCACAGGTTCCAGGGATTAGGATATGGATTGTATTTTTGAGAGGTGACCCCATTCAGTCACCATAACATACATGTCTATTACCAGCTACATTTACATCCTCGCTACGCGCAAATACACATCAATGTCTATATGTCTGTGTCCTTACCTACACCGGTTTTCGATTCCCAGTTATATCTGTATCCTTATCCACATCTGAATCTGTGTCTATGCAACAGAAGGTTATTAGTATACAACCAAATAACGGTGACTATCATATTTCTGCTTGAAGAATTCTAGCTGATTATTACTTTCTTCATAATGGTTTTATAATGAATCTATATCTGAATTCTTTCTAGGAGCATACATTACTATTGTAGTAAAATATGAGAAATTGGCTGGGTATGGTGGCTCATGCCTGTAATCCTAGCACTCTGGGAGGCTGAGGCGGTTAGATCATCTGAGTTAGGAGTTTGAGACCAGCCTGGCCAACAATGGCAAAACCCCATCTCTACTAAAAATATGAAAATTAGCTGGGCGTGGTGGTGCACACAGAGGCCAAGGCAGGAGAATCACTTGAACCTGGGAGGCGGAGGTTGTTGCAGTGAGCCGAGATTGTGCCATTGCACCCCAGCCTGGGCTACCCAGCGAGACTCCATCTCAAAAAGAAAAAGGAAAAGGAATCTATTGCCATATTGGGGATTATGGGAAAACTTTCACTGGGTCTAACACCGTGACACTGTCCTGTCATCTCCAGCCTCCTCCTTATCCTGGGCCTTCCCTTCCCTCCCACGTGGCTCACTAGTCTGCAGCCCTCTCATCTCCCCCACATTTGCCCCAGCTAAAGCTCAGCACTCTAGAACACCAGCAGGGGTTTCTTTCCCAGATGGAAGGTGGATGTGCCTTTCCTCTCTCCTAGGAAGTTCCATGGCCCCTGATGTTCTCAGCATAAACCCCCAACAGGCCCAAAAGGACTGATATAGCCTGACCTCACCTTTCCACAAACTCTTCAGCCCAATTCAGCCTTAATTCAATAATTTGGGTTTCCTTTTTTTTTTTTTTAGAGACAGAGTCTCACTCTGTTGCCAAGACTGGAGTGCCGTGGTGCAATCTTGGCTCACTGCAACCTCTGCCTCCCAGGTTTAAGGGATTCTCCCACCTCAGCTTTCCGAGTAGCTGGAATTACAGGTACCTGCCACCACGCCTGGCTAATTTTTGTATTTTTAGTAGAGACAAGGTTTCATCATGTTGGCCAAGGCTGGTATCAAACCCCTGACCTCAAGTGATCTGCCCACCTCAGCCTCCCAAAGTGCTGGGATTACAGGTATGAGCCACCATACCCAGCAAGGTTTCACTTATTTCTATCGATTCCTGGTCCAACCAACAAGTTTCCCACAATTTATTATATTATTTTTAAAAATACCTTTACCATCATAAAAAATAATACATATCTGGCATTATTTTTTATAATACTCTAGGCATTATTATATAATATTCCAGGCAGTTTTACTATTATTCTAGGCATACTAGAAAACACAGAAAGACACCGAGGTCAGCTGCCTTCAAAGATGGCTGCCAACAGTTCCTCCCTTCCCTTTAGCTCTCATCACTCCTCCCACCACCAGGGGCGTCTATTTCCCCACCTCTTGATTCTGGGCAGACCAATAGAATGTACCAGAGTGAAGTGTCAATTTCAAGCCTAGGCCTTAAGAGGCCAGATGGCTCCCACTGCTGCTCACTTGGATGCCAGCTGCCATCTTGCAAGGAAGCTAAAGCTGGGTTACCAAATACTGAAAGCCCAGGTGAATGCTGAGAGGCCGTGTGGGGGAGAACCAACCCACTACCAGCTGACATTAGGCACACAAGTGACCCAGGGACAGACCCGCAGCTGAACCACCCAGTCAGCCCTCTGAATCCTAGTAAGTCATTGTTGGAAGCCACTAAACTCTGGTTGGTTGTAAACAATATATGTCTGAAGCAGAGGCCCCTCCCTTAAGCCCCCAGCCCAGAGAGGAACCCTGCTAACCTGTTGGTGTAGATCCTACCAGATTTTTTTCCTGTAATAAAAAATATCCACATTTTTTTCCTATAATAAAAAGAAATCCACAAAATAGACTTCTAGGCTTATTTCTACATTTCAGAAAAGCTGTTCAGAATGATTTTATTAATAGTTCAGCTGCAGCAGGAAGAGGAAACAGACCAAAGCTTGCCTCTTACCCACCACGAGTCATGCTGAGCTCTTCGTGGCTATGAGAATCAAACACTCAAATTTACCAACTTTGCACATTTGTGCGGAAATACTGTAGCCCTGTGTCCACAAGCCTGCACAGGCACAGTGGGGAGGAACAGTTCTTTCTTCAGCACCTTTCAAACATTTTTGAGCCAGAAAAAAAGTATTGGTTTCAAAATACAGAAGAAACTGGCAAAATCAAGGTTAACTAATTCATCATTAAACATTTCATAGTAAATCAAGTCAAGTAATTGTTAAATAATTCTACCATGTCTTTTTTTTTTTTTTAAGATGGAGTCTTGCTCTGTTGCCCAGGCTGGAGTCCAGTGGGATGATCTTGGCTCACTGCAACCTCCATGTTCCGGGTTCAAGTGATTCTCCTACCTCAGCCTCCCAAGTAGCTGGGACTACATGAGTGCACCACCACATCCAGCTGATTTTTGTATTTTTAGTAGACATGGGGTTTTACCATGTTGCCCAGGCTGCTCTCGAACTACTGACCTCAGGTGATCCACCCACCTTGGCCTCCCAAACTGCTGGGATTACAGACGTGAGCCACTGTGCACAGACTTTTTTTTTTTTTTTTTTTCCCTGAGCCAGGGTCTCGTTCTGTTACCCAGGCCGGAGTGCAGTTAGTTGTGTGATCACAGCTCACTGCAGTCGCAACCTCCTGGCACCATGTGACCCCCCCCATCTTAGCACCCCAAGTAGCTGTGACCATAGGCATACGCCTCCACACCTGGCTAATTTTTTTTTTAATAGAGATCTCCCGATGTTGCCCAGTCTGGTCTCAAACTCTTGGGCTCAAGCAGTCCTTCCACGTTGGCCTGGGGATTACGGGTGTGAGCCACCATGCCCAGCCTCCGCGTCTTCACTGAGAACAATTTGTAGGTTAGCTTTGCCTCTGCTGTTTTTCCGAGGTGGGGTCTTGCTGTGTAGCCCAGGCTGGACTCAAACTCCAGGGCTCAAGGCATTCTTTTTCTCAGCCTCTTGAGTAGCTCTGACTAGTCATGTGCCACTGTGCCCAGCTACCTTTGTCCTGATTCCTAAGAATCTCCAGAAGGCAGAATGAGTACACAGAAAACAAGGCACGTTTCTGTTACATTGTTCCCTGCGACCACAGTTCCTCTGGAAGTTTAACATGGAGTCACCACACTATGCTGTCACCATCCCCAAATTCATATACTGAAGTCTTAACCCCCGGTCCCTCTGAATGTAACTGTATTTGAAGATGGGGGTCTTTAAAGAGGAAATTAAGGTAAAATGAAGCCAGGCACGGTGGCTCACACCTGTAATCCCAGCATTTTGGGAGGCTGAGGCAGGCAGATCACCTGAGGTCAGGAGTTCCAGACCAGCCTGGCCAACATGGTGAGACCCTATCTCTACTAAAAAACACGAAATTAGTCTGGCA